GAGAGAGAGAGAGAGAGAGAGAGAGAGAGAGAGAGAGAGAGAGAGGGAGAGATAGGTATGTTCAAGTAGTAGAGTTAAACTTTGCAAGCAGTTTGTTATTAAATTCATAGTCAAGCAAAGCAAAGTGCTCAAGTCTCTGTCTGTCTCTTTCTCCCATTCAAGCTGCCTTTCACTATAATGGAAATTTCGTAAAGTGCATCACTTACCATACATTTTACCCTCATCGGATAATATAATCTTTCTGCGTCCACATGGTGGATATATTGACAGTGCCTCTTGAAAGCTTTGCTCAATGTCCGGACTCCAGACACCTTCGGCATCAGCGGATGATAAATCTTTTTCGTCCTGTAAGAATCACATGAAGAAGAACAAGAAGAAGAAGAAGAGGAATCAATCAAACAGCCATCAGTTGGTTTAGTTCTCACACAGCTATATCTATTTAATAGTATAACTATGTGACCAATAGCGCCTGGTACTTTCCTCTAATAATCAGGTCAATTTGATTAATTTCTTATGCTCATCGATTATTTATCGATTGGCAGGCGCAATTTGATCGCTTTGCGTCAACTGTCGCCAACTTCTGGTCTAAGAATAAATGCAATTTGGCCCATTATATTCCACCCAGTAACGGTAATTTCCCCTTTGAATTGACTTTGCTTAACAATTACACTGATGCATATTCCACTTACGATTCCAATTCAAAATGGGAAATTACTTTGAGGCATACTTAATTCCTATTCGAATTCAAATGGGAATCATTACAGAAAGCCAAGGAAAATTCTTGACCTATACAAAGTTTTCTCTGGACATATAGAAGATAATCTGATGTACTGAATCTATAATCTGATACTCTGAAATTATATTTGTATAATTCAATATAGATTTAGGGTTTTATAAACTGATATACTGAATGTATAATCTGATACTATGGGAATATATTTCTGTAGCTCAATATAAATCTATGGTTCTGGTTTCTGGATATTGAAAGGAGTTTTATATAGACCGTTATCAAAATAAGTATTCTATTCTAATGAAATCGAAGAAGTCTTCTTCTCTACATAGTAGCCTATATCTATCCATGGAAAAGCCAGTAAGCAAAACGAAAACTAAAAATCTAAATTTTTCGATTTTTTTTTTAAATATTATCAAAGTTTGACTATAATATTTATATAACCTATTCTCTATAAATTTAGTTAATATAACAAAGTTCAGATTGCCATGCATTTGCTCTACTTACATCGCTCATATCGCCAACATCCAAGTTTTTACTGTCCACCATGCTGCCATTTGTGTCTGCCGATCCCAGGGGACCAGGAGGACCGGCATTCACTGGTGGCCACGGAGATGGTATGGTGCCGGGTCCAACTGCAATCACAAAAAAAACAAACAAACAAACAGAAACAATTAATAAATGCGAATTTTCGTATGGATTTTGTGTGAGAATGAAGTGCGCGGGATCTGTGACAAGTCTTAAGCGCGCTCGCAGCTACATAAATCTGTGTCATACTCCACGAAATACGCAACCCCCTCCCATCTGTTGCCCCATCAGAGCAAAACCTGTGCAACAGCCATCCCCACTGGCCGGGGTGTTGATATGCATTATGAATTTGCGTGCTGTGTGTGCGAGATGAAAAGCGCTTCAGCACGCACTTAAGTACGTTTTTCATTTGATATATTTAACAATGGTGCCACATATGTGTGTGTGTGTGGGTGGGTGGGCGTGCCACTCGGCACATAGTCAAACCAACGAGACAATCAACGCGTCTACTCCAAATTGATAATAATCATTTACCATGGCTGAGCACAAGTGCATAATCATTTGGCTAAGCGAGTGCCAGACACGTACACATATACACACACACAAGTGGCATATTATGTGTGTGTGTGTGCGACTTGCAGCAGTTCAATAGCCAAGTTTAATGCCAGAGATCAGGCAGTGAATAGCCAAGCTATTAAACATACATTAGTCCGTCATAGGCGAGGCATACTGTACCCATACAGTATACTAGAAGTACATTAGAATACTACACATAACTATGCACATACATCTACATAGCATTTACATAAATGTATGTATGGGCTAGCAGGTAATGAAATGATTCAATATTTAGTTTCATTTAAAACCAATTTTATGAGATCTTCAGCTTCATCATGATGGGTTTATGTGCTAAAGTTTTCTCATTACTGACTATATATGGCACCAAATTTGAAAAACTTAAACTCCATATAAATCTTAAAAGCTGGCTAAAAGTAAAACTCAACGATTAGATAGCTGGACAAATGCAGTCTCAGGATCTAGTCCTTCGAAGATTGATATTATACACCCAGCAGTGTATGTTTATAGCATTGATATTACATGCAAGAAACTATAATCTGTAGTAGGCTGTAATTTATAGCAGTGATAGAGACGACTCGCTGGTAGTACTGGGAATTACTCTGTAGTAGTCAGAGAGACTATTTAGAGAGTCTTTAGTAGCTCCATAGTCGCAGTAGTCACTTCAGTGTAATCACTTCAGTGATATATATTTGTATGTATGAATTAAATCTGTCAAATAACGAAAATTGTTTCTCTAGTCTCTCTCTCTCTCTCTCTCTCTCTCTTCCTCTCGCAAATATTTTTTAATCGCCTCTACACGACTCTGGTAATATGAAATCGCCTTTAGTCAGCTCTAGTAGCCCTTAAGTCGTATCTTATAGTCTCTAGCAAGCTCTAAAGTCTCTCTCTCTCTCTCTCTCTCTCTCTCTCTCTCTATCTATCTCTCTCTCTCTATCTCTCTCTCTCTCTCTCTCTCTCTCTCTCTCTCTCT